GAAACTGTCTCAATGTGGATTATCTCTTTCACTTTTATGTTTTAAGTATTAACCTTTTGCCACTGACTCTCACTTTGTAGATATAAAACATTTACTTCTAAATTCAATAAAGTTTTATAGTGCTATTTGTTGTTTTAATCCAAACTCATAATCCTTTTTATTAAAATGTTTCTATTTTTAAAATCAATATTATTGCAATTCTCACATCCTGTTTATATCTCATTAGTTTTCTTTCCTTCCTGATTCTCCTCCAATGATTAGTACACAGCTCTGAATAAATATAACATTTTTATTATATCTGTAGCTGTTGGCTTTCAGTGTACTATTGAAAATAAATACATCAATAATATTAAAAAGAAAAAGTAAAACAGACATAAAACCTAGAAAAGTGGATTCTAAAACAAATATGTTGACATACCACTAGAAAGGTTCACAGACAATTCAAACTCTTTCTTCTCATAACAGAATAGGGAGGACAATAAGAATAAGGCAGGGAAATGAAGAAAGAGGAAGGACAGCCAGTAACCAGTGGTATCATACTTTTGAGAAAGCAGCAGCAGCTAATATACCAAGCACAAATGGAGGGGCACAGCTCAGTGATAGAAACAAGAAAGAATACACCTGTGAATCTGGAAGTTAAAAACTGAGGCGGTCCTGACCAACTTTTTGTTTTTGTTTGTAATATATGAAAAATAAAATAAATAATTGTCTTACAGCTGTTTTCTTATGTGTACATTCACTATTCTATTTGATAATTGAAAAATAATTGATGTTTTAAAATTTATATACATTGTGCAATGGCTAAGCCAAACGAATTATATAGACTATAGCCCACATACTTGTTTTCTGTGGTGAGAAAACTATTCTTTTAGCAATTTTTAAGCATATAATGCTTTGTTGTTATTGTCACCATATCATACAATTAATATCTTGAATTTATTTCTCCTATATAACTGAAAATGTGTGCTCATTTACCAGCATCTTCACATCCCACACCCTTCCAGGCCCTGGTAGCCACCTTCTACTCTCTACTTCTATGAGTTCAACTTTTTAAAATTTCACATATAAATGAGATCACGAAGTATTTGTCTTTCTGTGTCTGACTTATTTCACTTAAGATAATATTTTTCAGATTCATACTTGTTGCTGCAAATGACAAGATTTCCTTCTTTTAAAAGGTTGAATAATATTCCATTGTGTATGTTTTGAAGGAAAACAGAATCTGGGGACCTCAAACTCACCAGGTAAAAGGAAAAGTTAAGGCAATAAGTGGTGTTGGGAATTAAGTTACACACACACACAAATTATCCTTTTGTTCCTAAACACAGTTGCAGCAATACAAGGCCACATACCTCCCCGGATGGTCTCCCTCACCAATTGCTCACAAGGAAATTCCTTATGGACCCCAAATCTTTCAGAATACATATCTCCTTGTGGAAGAGTGTTAAAAGCAGAGTTCTGTTGAATCTTATCCTGACAATGTAAATGAACAGTTTACCTTTACAGATATGGAACAAGAACAAAACTAGAAACCATTCTTCCACCCACCCTGAGACAAATGCATATTTGACTTCTTCCTCTACTCTATCTTTCTACACTCTTAACTTATGTAAAATATAGATTTACTGAGCACAAGACAAACACATAATTGACTGTTTCTCTATCCCCTCTTTTCATGTGTAAGATGTAAATTTACTAAGTGCTTTGCAAAGCCTTCACAAGAATGTAACTTTTTGTCTAACCTCTACCCAGTTTTTTCTTTTTTCTTTCTTCTCCCACCCATTCTTTCCCCTTTGAATACCGAAGTCATCAAAATCCAAGCCAGAAAAGACACAAATCAAGATGCTGCTGTGATTTGTGTTTCTTTTCTGAGTATGTCATAAACCATGACAGAATAAATGTCAAAATGATTGAGATATGCTTGTTTTTTTTTTTTTTGGTTTACAGTATGTACCTTATTTTCTTTATCCATTTAGTCATTAATGGACACAGGTTTATTTCATATTTTGGTTATTATGAACAGTGCTGCAATAAAAATGGCTGAACTAATTTACATTCCCACCAGCTGTGTGGAAGCATTCCCTTTTCTCCACATCTTTTCCAGCATTTGTTATCTTTCATCTTTTTGGTAATAGCCATTCTAACAGGTATAAGGTGACAATCTATTGTGCATTTCTCTTAAGTTTTTTTTGTTTTGTTTTGTTTTGTTTTTGAGTTGGAGTCTCACTCTGTCGCCCAGACTGGAGTGCAGTGGCCACTCCCGGCCACCACAGCCTCGACCTGCTGGGCTCCGGCGATCCTTCCACCTCAGCCTTCCAAGTAGCCGGAATTACAGGCATGCGCTACCATGCCTGGCTGATTTTTTTGATTTATTGTAGAGATGAGGTCTTGCTGCCCAGGCAGGTCTCGAACCCGCGGGCTCAGGCAATCCACTCACCTCAGCCTCCCAAAGGCGCAGGATTACAGGCTGAGCCACCGAGCCCGGCTCCATTTCTCTTAAGCTTTTGTTTTTTCACTTATCTGTTGGCCACTTATATCACTTCTTTTGAGAAATATCTATTTAGGTCCTTTCCCATTGTAAATTAGGTTATATGATTTCTTACCATTACGTTGTTTGAGAGTCTTATATGTTTTGAAAATTACCTCCTTAACTGATGTATGGTTTACAAATATTTTCTCCCATTCCATAGGTTGTCTTCACTTGGCTGATTGTTTTCTTAGCTGTGTTGAGGTTTTTTGGTTTGATGAAATCCCAGTTGGCTATGTTTGACTTTTTGCCTGTACTTTCAGGGTCGTATCCAAAAAATCTTTGCCCAAACCAATGTTATGGAGCGGTTGTTATGTTTTCTCATAGCAGTTTTGCAATTTCAGTTCTTGCATTTAAGTTTTTAATTTATTTTGAGCTGACTTTACTATGTAGCATGAGATAGGGTCTAATTCCCTTCTTCCATTTGTGGATATCCATTTGTACCAACACTATTTATTGAAGAGATTGTCCTTTCCCCATTGTGTGTTCTTGACACCATTGTTAAAAAACAATTGATTGTAAATATGAAGATTTATTTCTGGGCTCTCTATTTTGTTTCATTGATCTGTGTGTCTATTTTTATGCTAGTGCCATGCTGCTTGGATACTATAGTTTTGTAGTATATTTTCAAATCAGGTACAGTGATATCTGTAGCTTTGTTCTTTTTGTTCAATATTGCTTTGGCTATTTGTGTTATTTTTAGGTTCCATAGAATTTTTTTTCCCATTGTTTTGGAAAATGTCATTGGTATTTTTGATAGGGATTACACTGAATCTGCAGGTTGCTTTAGGTTGTGTGAACATTTTAACAATATTAAGTCAATCCATGAATATGAAATATCTTTCCAATTATTTGTATCTTCTTCGATTACTTTCATCAATGCTTTATGGTTTTCAGTGTACAATCTCCTTGGTTAAATTTATTCCTAAGTATGTTATTTTATTTTTTTGTAGCTACTTTGAGAAATTTTTTAAAATTTCTTTTTCAAATAGTTTGTTGTAAGTGTATGGAAATGACTCATATATATTGATTTTTAGATCCTACAACATTATTAAATTTATTTGTTCTTTCTAATAGTTGTTTTGTGGATTTTTAAATGTTTTTATGTATATAGGATTATGTCATCTGCAATCAGGGCAATTTAATTCTCTCCTCTCCAATTTAGATATCTTTGCTTTTTCTCTTAATTGCTCTGGCTAAGACTTCTAATATGTTGAATAGAAGCATCCAAGGGCATCTTTGTCTCGTTCCTGATCTTACAAGGAAAGCTTTAAGCTTTTCGTCCATTGAGTATATCCATTGAGCTATATGCTTGTTCTGTATGATCTCTATTGTGTTAAGATACATTTCTTCTATTCCCAATTTATTGAGAATTTTTATCATGAAAGGAAGTTGAATTTTAACAAATGCTTTTTCTATATATATGGAGGTAATTATATGGTTTTTGCCCTTAATTCTGTAAAATGTATCTGGATATGTTGATCTGCATATGTTGAACCATCCTTGGATCCACTGTATACACCCCACTTGATCATGGTGAATAATTTTTAGAAAATATATGTTGAATTCAGTTTGCTAGTATTCTGTTGAAGAGTTTTGTATCTATACTTACCTAGTATATTGGCTTATCATTTTATTTTCCTGTAGTATCCTTTTCTGACTTTGGTATCTGGTTAATGCTAGCTTCATTAAATGTGTTTGGAAATATTACCTTTTCTTCAACTTTCTGAGTTTAAGAAAGATTTGTATTAGTTCTTTGAAAAATGATTCATAGAATCCAGCAGTGAAGCCACTGAACTGTGGAACTTGTAGAAGAATAATTTTAACTACTGATTCAGTCTCCTGGTGTTCTGTTGAGATTTGCTATTTCTTTGTGA